TACTACGAACTCTGATGATCACTTCCAAAACATTTATACAGATTGTAATTAGTTTATACTTTATAATAGCTAATCATTTTTATTTATTTGAAATGCAATTTTACATCAATTTATATCTTTACAGTYAATAAATCTGAATTGGATACAACGAAAACCACTAATGAAAGTAATAATTTGACAGAACATTTACAAGTTAAGATCAACACTGATATTACTAGTGGAAACTACAGTTATTCAACTGCTATTAAAATTTTAGATGATGTTGCTAAGAGTCCTGTTGATACTAATGTAAGTTAGCTTTTGATGAATAATTTTAGTCYGATGAATAATTTTTATATTTTATCTAGGGTCATTTTGTTTGTGATTTATGTTTACACGAATTTTATAACTGGAAATATTATAAGAAACATAAATTAGAACATTTGAATGATAAGCCATTTAAATGTTTGAAATGTTTAAAATCATTTAATTACAATGTAAGTGATAAAAGCTTTCCTTAAAGAGGACATGATACCCCCATGTGTTGTCACCATCTTACAAGTGCGTAACATACTAAATTTTACTCTGCATATCAAGTTTAGCTCCGTTAGTGTWAGAATTAGAGTGAATTGACCTATTATCAAATTTAAAGGTAAGAGTATTATTCAAAACGACCTCATGGGCTTTTTACTATATTTTAATTTTAAAGTGAGTTATAAGTTTTAAAATTGTAAATTTTTTGTACATCTTAAAATATTTATAACTTGCTTTGAAATTAATACATAGTAAAAAGCCCATAAGAWCGTCTAAATAAAAATCTTACCTTTAAATTTTATAAGAGGTCAATTCACTCTAATTTTTAAACTAACAAAGCTAAGCATGATCTGCTGAACATAAAATTTGGTATGTTATGTTAAGCACTTGTAAGACGGAGACAACACATGCGGGCATGACCTCTTAAATTATTCCATATTATYTAAAATATTTACATATTATATTATTTTATGTTGACAGAATAATTATTTACTTCACATTGCTTCTCATTCAACAAGTAATTTGAAATGTCCAAAATGTAAAAAAGAATTTAAACGCTTTGCTAGCTTTAAAGCTCACCTGAAAATTCATAAAACTGAAGAATTGATTACATGTAATATTTGTGATAAAATATTTGACAACCAGGTACCTATTAATAGATAATATATTATTGTTTATAGATMAAATATTAAATAATTAGTGATTTCTGTTTAATATAATCATGAATCATTTTTAGAAAGCCTAGATATAAGCTTGTAGTAATTACTACTTAATMATTCTAAAAATTCATCACAAAATGTAATACTTACATTCATTTTTATTATCTATTTATTATCATGCATTTTTATAGGTTTAATGTATAATTTCTTAGCCATGATTAAAAAAGAATAAATATTTATTAACTAAAAATTAAAACAATAAATGTTGCTGAATTTTTGGTTTTAATATTGAAAATAAATTATAAATTTATAATGTGTAAAGTAAAATAGTATTAATGTGGTTTGAAAAGAAAATATTATATAATTGCTTTCTATAAACCACAGTTATTACTGTACATTACAGATAATAAATAAGCAAATACTTTATAATATTTTGTATGATGTATTATATTATTTATTTTATGTTTTTAAGGTTCTATAAACTTTTTTTTAAATTTCAGTATCGATTGGACATTCATAAAGAAAACTGTATGCAAGAAAACTTAATTAATCCTGGTGAAGGAACATCTATTGCTTCTATTAAAACTTGTACAAGTTGTAATATGTCTTTTACAACTGTGTCAGAGTATAAAATGCACATCAAAGAACATAAAAAAGTAAGTCTAATTTATAATATACTTATGATAATTTAATTGATTATAAAGGGAATAGTTTGTAGTTATACCAATAATTATGATCCATTTTAAAAAGTTAATACTTCTTAAAATAAAGTTCATATTTATTATCTTAGTTCAAAATACTGTCAATTTTTAATAAACTAATTTTTAAAATAAGGTATTTAAATATTGATGATTAATTCACTACAGTGAAATTTAATAACATATATATATTTTTTTTAATTTAAGTTTGATTCAATATTGAAAAAATATCATAAAGTTGCAACAAAATTTAAAAAATTACATAAAACAAGTAATAAAATAAAAAAATTTAAATGTGATCATTGCGACTGGTCATTTAATAAGTCAAATCTTTTACGCCGACACATGAGAACACATACTGGAGAAAAACCATTTGAAGTTAGTTATTTGTAAATTTAATACAATCAGATTATTATACATATGTGCTGTACATAGGAGCTAAATATTTTTATTTTTTTATATAGTGCACAGATTGTTCAGTATACTTTACTCAACAAAATTCATTAAATAGACATCTGATGAAACATAAAGGAATACGGCCATTTAGATGTGAATTCTGTGAAATGAGTTTTTGTCAAAAAGGTCACTAAACAGTATTAATGCATCTTAGATTCAACATATTATTGTATGGATTAGAAATAAAAATTATGATTGAAATTATTACAGGTCATTTAATWAATCATATGAAAAAATGTCATGCTGTTAAAAAAGAGCCAACAAGAATTCATAAATGCTCTATGTGTTCATGTGTTTACAATAGTATCAATGCTCTTAATAAACATTTAAATGTTTTCCATGGAGTGAAAACTAAAAATGTACATGCAAATGTTCAAAATCAAGTAACAAAGTGTGGAGAAACAGTTGATGAAACTATACATTTAATTAAAGGTAAACAAATGTGTTTGGTAAGAAAAGGAGCTTTTAAATGCTTTTGGCATGTTGTATTCTTGGATATTTAACATAGATCCCAGACTGTTATGTTTAAAGAGTTCTTTGTTGACATTTTAAAGAAATTGTGACTATGTGTAAAATAATATTCTAYTTGAATATTTGAAAATTAACTACTACACTTTTTTAATAGATAAATCAACATTGTAAGAAAAAATGCTCCATACAATATTTTTAAATACAATTGATTCAATAAATAGTTTTAAAATG